TCCAGCTCCGATTCGCTGCAGCCCGCGGCCGGTGTTCGAAACCGGGCGGTTCCCAGGGTTCATCCAGCCTTTAGGTCTAGGAAATGGGTATCAGAGTTAACACTTTGTAGTAAACGGAGTAACGCCGGCTTAAGCTATATAGTTTCGTGCGGACGGCGACACAGGCGGACAGTTTCTGATCAGCTATTTGTACTGGTGGCAGAGCACTTATGGTTTATAACTGTGTGCAATGACGCTGGTTCATATCTCCCGACTTTCTTTACCATAGAAAATCAGTTTGGTGTCTGAGTGAAAAAGCTGAACTGTAAAGAGACGAACAGATTTTTAAAAAGAAATGCGAAAATTTTTAGCATCTAGAGAAAGAATCGCATTATAAATTTTACACGTAATACACAAAAGTAAGCAGGTGGTTGGATTGAGGAGGGGGGTGTGCAGACCTTGATGCCGTACAAACAGTATAATCAACAGATTGACCTGTATTGATCAGTGCTGACAGAAGAGAGAGAGAGAGAGAGAGAGAGAGAGAGAGAGAGAGAGAGAGAGAGAGAGAGAGAGAGAGAGAGGGAGAGAGAGAGAGAGCAGGACACATTAGAGGCTAGAACATCACCATCACAGAAACAATTGGGGGTGGGGGGGGGGGTGTAATTAGCCGATTAAAATGACCCATGTTCGGGGTGGGAGCTCAGAGGGCTTCAGGGCTGTTTAATTGCTCAAAAATATTAGTAATAGTAATAATAGGCTCCCTTGTGCATATGCAATTGACAACATGAAAATCCAAAGCTTTTTTTTATCATACTGTGAATCGAACCTTCTTCATGTCACATTACAGTTCAGACCTAACTTATGTGTGTGCAGATTGTTAGCTCCTTGCCTCTCATGCTGATGCACTCCAACTTCGAAGGAAACCGCCTGTTAGTTAACTCTTACGACTTATGGAAACAGTAACAATCAAATGCACTCCAACTTCGAAGGAAACCGCCTGTTGGTTAAAACTCTTACGACTTATGGAAACAGTAACAATCAAATGCACTCCAACTTTGAAAGAAACCGCCTGTTAGTTAACTCTTACGACTTATGGAAACAGTAACAATCAAATGCAGAAAAGAGTTCTTACAAGATTAGCTGACAGAAATTAAAATAGAAAAGTGAAATATTTCCGCCACATTAAAGTTCTTGAAAGTCGGCTAGAAGTAGATTGTGATACAAACGGATAATAGCCTACGGTGATGAATGAGTTTGAGATAAAGTACAACTAGAAAGAAAGATTCATTGCAGTCAACCTTGACTGTGGAGACGGCCTCTAATGAATCCATTGAAACCAAGCAGAAAAGAATACAAAGGTACAATAACCATCCCTGATAAAGAGAAAGGGCGATTGGGAGAGCAACATCTGGACAAGTGTGGAGAACCCAGCATCTGGCTGAGGGCGAGAGCAGGGAGCAGGGAGGAGAACGGTGGTGGTTGGGGTGCGACTGCTGTTAGTAGTCCACGCCTGCAGGCTGTCACGGTCGACAGGTAGGGCAAGGTACTAAAAAGCCGACAAAGCACAACAAAAGAAGAATGAACGGTGCGCGCTCCAGCCGACCCTCTACCCTTCCCCTAAACTTGTTCGCGCGGAGGTGGGGGTCGCTGGAGAGGACGACAATTAGATTCGGATCAGCGGACGGCACGCGACCGGGGGTATATAACGATAGCTAGAGACGCGTGCTGGAGTTAAAAGAGGCAAGAAGTTTTTCGTTTTTTTTACCCACACCAGTACCAGCGTGCTGGAGATATTCGCTATTCGTCTTCTGGTAGCTCACGCCTAGAAACTATATACCAGAAAGCCTCTCAAGATATTTCCGCAGTCTGGAATTAGTTGTACTCGCTTGCGGATACATGTACGCGTGCTTGCTGCCTTCACAAACGTGTAAGAAACTTTATTATTTACTTACAACGGATCTTGGAACAAACCGAAAGCTAAACGTTGAAAAAAAAAAAATCGTTATTCAAGCGTCAAGTATTTATCAGAGCATGCTGTCCAGTTCTGTGTAGATAAAAACAAAGGAACTTAACGCAACTGACAGCGAGAACTAACTTGTCAAATGTGATTTGGAGTTGACGTGTGCAAACAACATACAGATCAACGCATGTCGCCAAGTGTATCTCCTGTTTATAAATAGTGACAACATTCGCAAAGGATTGTTCTGTGGCTGTGGTCTAAATCTGGCACAAGACTAGTGTGATCTGTCACAGCTCCCAGGATCTGATCAAAGAAGTGAGTTGATGTTGATTCGTTTCTTTCTGTGATTACCTGATACAGTCTGCTGTCGCCTGACGCTGGTTACAGATAAGATAAGGCCAGTCAAACTGGATTGTTGAGTCGGTGAATCCGGTATTTCATCTGCCAGCAGGTAAGGCACCAAAACACTTATTATTCTGTTGATCTGTTTTAGATTAAAAAGGATGGTAATTGGGCTAGGTACAGTGAAATCAACAACAGAGAACTGCGTTCAACCTGTCAGTGTTAGAGACTGGCTAATGGAATATTTACATAGAACTGAGTAGTACTGTGTACTTAAATGTTACGGTTTCAAGTACTTTGATGTATCATACAGATAGTGTTTTGCTACAAGTAACGTGCCAGACTGTGCATCAGTTTGTGTAGTCGTGTCAGAACCTACCAGCGCGCCTTTTCGTTACTTTATATGAAGCCAGAGCCTCGTCGGGAAAAATCACACTTATTTGTTTTTTTTTAAAATAAAAATTATTTATCTAACACTGATGTGCAAAATACTAAACTATAATTGTAACATAAGGAAAACAATCAAATTCACAGAAGGGACAAGTCTGATGAATGTTAATCATTTATGTACAGAGCAACTTACTACACATACATTTGTTGTTGATCAAAAGAATAACATCGTTTAAGAAAATTATCTTGTTCACAGCTTAGTGTTAAATATTAGTGCAGCTCCTTCTGTTGTAAATAGTGTTATCTTAATTCCTATAGATTTAAACATGTTAGTATATTAAAGTGAAAATATGTAGGTAGAGAGTTAAAACGGTGCTGTAGCTGATAGTGAAAAGGTTAAAGGTGAAAACTGACACAATTAATACCTGAGGATGTGGTTGTAGAAACGTGAAACACGAAGACAAAACAATGGCTGAGCCCCGTTCATGAAATCATCCCTTGTTAACTTAGACAGTTACACTGTAGTAGAGGGAGTCTAGGAGGGACCTATTGCAGCTTTCTGACGTTTTCCCACGCTTCAGTGTTATGCCGGTGACAGGTATGTTAATAAACGTGTCTAGGTAAGTTTAGGTAGGAGTTGTTTGTGCGAGACAGTGCCGTGAACAGACAAAGAGGTGGGTTATATCATAAAGTGTAAATAAGGTTCCTGACCAAGGTAAAATAAGGGATACCATAGCCTTGCTATTTGCATTCTTACCTATATACACGGCGACAACCAGTTCGACAGCTAGCCATAGAGGGTTGTAAATTCTGTGATTAAAACTGTTCTAGTGATCAACTTTGTGTACTATAATGGGTGGACACTGTACGTGTGAGAAAGTAAAGACCAAGAATAAAGGAAAACTAAAAGTACACAGACGAGAATTTGTGTCTGTTGTGTACAAGTTGAGAGGGGCTGTGGTGAGCTTCACTTCATGGCAAAATAATGACATCTTCATGCGAGTAGATTGAGGAAGAAACGACATGTGTACAACTGGTGTGCCCCTGGAGCAGTTTCCATTTGGTTTATGCACTATCAGGGAATATATAAAGAAGGAGGACGAGGAGCAGCAGTAGTAGAAGAAGAAGGAGAAGAAGACGAGGACAAAATTCCGACCGAATATCTTTAGAACAACAGTTGTATACAGTGAACACACACTCTTAGACACCCGCTTTCTCCTCGTTAATAATTTTCCTGGGAACGCCAATGCTATAAATAAACACAACTTTGTTTTCCCGACACATTGTCTGTACTTGATAAAACGTACGTTGGGTATTTTTTTTAAAACCCCTGCAAAGATACTCTAATCATCTGCCTCTTTTCTGCCAGCGCCACCCCCAGTTCACCTTCCTATGCATCCCACCTCACAATCACCTGCGTCATTATATTGGAGCATCGTAATGTGTAACATATTTCTGTTTGACTTTCTTCCCCCCCCCCCCACCCCCACCCCCTGCTATGTGTTTAACCACAGAATGGCATAACCGTGTTGTTGAAATCGGCTCGTTCACACCAACATATGGCGTTTTGTGTACGCTTATGAAATGTTATGTTTTTACGACCAGGTATGATAGCCAGTTCTGGAATAAAAGCCATGCTGCAAAGATGTTTGGTGTAGAATTTATTGTCACGTTAATCAAAACTGCAGACTTCTTGATAGTTTACAAAAAGATGTTAAAAATGCCAGGGGACCGACTTCTTTGCGTCTAGTTAAACCGATATGGCTGGACCTCTTTTTTTGCACAGGGACTGGCCGCCTGCCGAAAGCTTCCAACACAGCCTTCACAATGCAGCTCCTCTAAGGATTCCAATGAGATGTCAGAGAAATCTGCATTAGTAAACCGAATGACCGAGTCAGAAACAGAATCTGCCATTTCCTTTAGAATTTGGGGAAAACGGCTCGACTTTTTCACAGAGATACCAGCCCATAACTCCGTTCATCCAAAGCATATCCCTTCATCTGTGTACTATCTATTATTTCTAGTTCTCTCGCAATTAACACCAACGATTAAACTAGCATCTAACTATATGGATTCTTCTTACGCGCAGTACACCCAGTGGAGCATAGGCCCCCTGTAAACTCGGCAAAGTCGCATATTCTCAGCTGTCAACCCCACCCCCACCCCCCTAACAGTTTCATATGGAACTCATCTTATTAACCCGTTTAAGTGTCTTCTCCTGATGTTTTTAGACTTCCTTGATTTATTTAGTTGCATTGCACCGACATATGTCATGACTGCAATTGTCTTATGTCATTTCAGATACTAGCGTTTGGTCGTGGAACTAATGACGAGAATGGAGCATCTAAGTCTGTTTACCAGCTGTCTGCTTCTGTTTGTTTTCAGCATCTTGCAAAGTGCATCAGGTAACATTGATCAGAGTATTTGTCTGGTCTTTTCTACTCAATTGTTTTGTCTGTATATTCGTTTGATGTGCTTTTGTTTTGTAGTTTCGAAAAATCCGAGTGATTGCGTTATACAACACATGAGATATCCATGTTAGTCGGTGTTTATGGGCATGTATATTCCTCCGTATCTCTCTCTCTCTCTCTCTCTCTCTCTCTCTCTCTCTCTCTCTCTTGCCTGTCATGTATTTCTGTTTTGTATCTTTACCTCTGCCAGTTTATCTTTATCTGCATCTCTCTTTCTCTGTATCTTATCTTTCTCAGTGCCTCTCTCTCTCTCTTGTCTGCATCTCTCTCTCGGTGTATGTTTGTCTAATTACCTGGGCTTATATCATCAGTACAGCCAATCTTAAGTTAAAAATCAACCTCAAACAGGTCTGACAAAAGTAATAACTCATTCCTTACACGCGACCTAACCATTCCACAAGACGGGCGGTCAGCGGCTATATGCCGAGGGGCAGGTCCTATCACACTGTCATGTTTGTTTCCACCTCACAAAAATCAACCGAGTCTCCTGACACAGCCTCGTAAAATATGCTCCGCTAACAAAGACAGACAGTGACTTGTGTGTCAAAATATTGACAGGAATGGTGGCTCCACAGTGTGGCTGTACACCATGGTTTGTTGTGGTCATATACTTGGAAATTTAGCCATGCCAGGGTTGAAGGCCGTAGATTTTTTTCTGTTGTGGGTTTCAACCCACACACAGACAGAAATATGCACGTGGATGAGGTATGAAACAAACCCCCACTGCCAGAAAATAGACACACATTTGGTTGGGATGTTTAACATTGTGGAATGGGAGTGTGCGATGGAGAACTAAAAACAAACCGAAGAAATATGATAAAGAAGAAGATATTCAAAGTTTTAAAATAAAATTAAAAAATGAATACATGGTCAAACAATTTACAAAGTGCACCCCCCCCCCCCCCCCCCCCAAAAAAAAAAAAAAAAAACCAGTCTCAGAAATCAAAGGCAGAGTGTAAGAATCTTTATGTGTGGACACTGAAAAGGAATAAACTCGACATAAAAATTTGAAGAAAACCCAATGATTACAGAGAAATATTTGTATTGCTTAGACGTAGTATATAGACGGGACAACAACACACACATGATGTCTGATTATTATGATCACGTGAGAGGTCGAATCATAACCTTTATAAGCAAAGCTGAAACTAATGGATAGGCTTGTCTTGACAATGTTCAGTTTCGCCATTTTCCCAACTCCGTACGTGATCGCCAGGTTTCACAATTATTATGTCTGTCTTCATTAATATGTCTGTCTTCATTAATATGGCTGTCTTTATTAATATGTCTGTCTTCATTAATGTGTCTGTCTTCATTAATATGTCTGTCTTCATACTTTCCTTTTGCCATACTACCATATACTAAGCATTGCATTGTACATTCGCCAGGTTTGATAATGTCTTCCTGCTTCGGCACCAACAAGTCCCTTGACATTGACTGTGGAGCAGGCTTCATGGTCCACATTACCAGAACCTTCTACGGCTTCAGTCCTACTGGTCAGTGCCGGATGGTAGATGGAGAGGCTGGAGCTGGATGTACTGCAGATGACCAGGTTAACTATGCCTGTGTTGGTCAAAGGTCCTGCAACATCAACCTGCCTACTGGTCAGTGGGGAATTAATGTGCCGGCCTGTGGCCAGCGGAGCAACTATTACCAAGTGGAATACACATGTGTTTTAGGTAAGTAATTCAGTGCTCCGCCATGTTATTTATAGGTATTACCTCTTTCAGCACCAGGTTTTACACGAGGGGGAAGTAATAACCATAAAGGAAAAGCATGTTTCCAAAGTGGCAACATGCACAGCGGCTATAACCCTTGGAGATGCCCAACATTTTTGGGATGCTCCTTCTATATATTAAGGTAAAAGAGCGTATTAAGCTTTTGTGCGAAATCAAGAGACTGACACACACTTCAGGTATGTCTTGGGGCTGAAATAGTTGATGCACTGAAGGCACGAATATGGCTAGGTTTAGACCCCAGATCAATCCATCCCATTTCTCCTTCCCTCCTTACCCACCGCTGTACTACTCTTTCAACAGAATTCTAGAACATAACCCTCTCACAAATTTGGCTGTGGTGGTCTACCATAGAAATACCCATCTAGTTCTGTTAGTCTTTCATTTTGAATACTGCTGTTCCCTGTGTGGGTTCCTGGGCCCTATTGTCGGGAAAACAAGAATAGACCCACTGCCTCCTCAGCTAGCATGTCGTAAGAGTTGACTGACTGGGGGCTTCCTTTGAAGTGGGAGTGCATCTGCCGGAGAAGCAAGGAACCAACAATCTGCATACAAAAAGGTTATATCTGTAAAACAGATGTGCATGCAACACTCAGGTTCTGGAACAAAAGACTAACGTCCAGAACTTTCTGCTGGAGTTTACAGCTGGTGAACGCAAAGAAGAAGAAGAAGAAGAAGAAGAAGAAAAAGAAGAAGAAGAAGAAGAAGAAGAAAAAGACGAAGAATACTGCTGTGGATATGTGTGTGTATACCAATCTTCAACTTAGAACTCCTGTACAAAAACAAAAAAAACCTATGAGATTGATTTCACACTCTGGCATGTGCTGAACACCTCCGGGTAATCCTGTCTTCCCCTTCCCTCTCCCCTCAATGAGATTTACAATATACAAGGTGGAATCTCTAGCCCCAGGGCCAGTAACTGCTTGAGCAATTACAATCCTACCTTGGCACTTGCTCTATCGTTCTCACCTGGAAGATCTATGGGCAGTTACATTTAAAAGAAAAAAAAATAATGAAATAGATGAATGTTGTAAAAGAAAAGACATGAATTTATACTTTCTTGTTCCTTTAAAAACAGAAAGCTCTCATTTAGATCCTTTGAATCTCTAATTAACTTAGCTATATCAGGGCTTTGAGGCCATAAACTAGAACACATACAACAAAAGGCCTCAAAGCACTTAAAAACATTATATTGGTATGCTTTTATTATTTAATATTAAGACACTGATGGTGGAAAATACAACTTGTTTTTAGTGTATTTAATAATTACCAAATTACTATTTGGTTGCTCTGAGCTCTGTCATATATTACAATATAAAATATTAGTTTAAAGCAATAACTTTATTAAACTAGTGAAGAGGTAATTCTAACAAAGTCTGAAACTTGTTGAGGCGTTCACGACTGTGATGTCCTTACCAGAAGCTAGTTTAATATAGGCCTAAGTCTTGCCTTTAGAATGGTGAGAAACCGTGGTAAATACTGCTGGACTAGAGCAAACTACAGATGCTCTAATTTAAAATCAAAAAGTAGTAGTTGTTGTTATAGTATCAGCAGCAGCAGGTAGCAGCAATAGCATCATATAACAATTAGTAGTATTACCAGCATAGACAAAGAAGAAGATGATGATGATAAAAACCAAATGGTTATCTTGTACCAGCTTGTGAAACCAAAGATAGAACATCCAGACAAAGAAAACAACGGTACAACAGATACCAGAAGCAAAAGGTGATAACATGAGATGTGATAACACGAAAGGTGATAACAGCAGAGGTCGGAGTCGCGGACATCTGAAAAGTGTGTCTAGATTAACGGATAAAACCCAGGCTTTGAGCCTGGAACTACTGCCTGACACATTTACCTGAAAACAGCGAGCCAGTAAATTGAGGTCCGTGCCTTCCCCCCATCAGAACCATCTCCAGATCCCAGGCTTTCCTCTCAGATTTACATCTGAAAGCCAGCACCCGAGCGTTACCTGTCTGCAGTAAAAACTTCTCCATTATCACATTTCATCGTGATCGTTCTCGTTTTGACAGCAACCCCGTGTTCCTGTATTATAAACCCTAGGCTTCGAGTTTCTTCAAACTTACACTCTCTACATTTAACCCTTTCAGCCCTGGATGGCAATATATCTTTTATACATCAGGCTTCTTCATCTCCCTCTCCTCCTCTTCCTATCGGTTATACCCTGGCGGAGCATAGGTCCTCAACTGACTGTAGCCACATGTGTGTTAACCATGGTTAGTTTACTTCAAAACAGTCAATTTTGGGGTTTAGTTGCGTTAACAAAAAACAGTTTGTAACTGAAAGATATTACCAAAACATTTCCCAATCAGGTAATATAACAACTCTAAGAAAATGAAGAAAGTGTGGCTATTTGGACAAACTAAATAAACGCACAGTACGCTGCTTGGTACGGAAAAGATTTTAAACAACAAATGTTTACATTCCGTTTTCTGTTGTTTTATTACCCTGCATCTATTTATCATGCCCTTTGATTTACGTAAATTATCTTCTCAAGTTACTTTTCTTCTCCCATCAACCTTTGTGATTCCCTAACGAAGATGAGTTAACCGGCTCTAAAAAAACTTATTCTGTGATCGATACAACTAACAAAGCTACCCCCTCTCTCTCACACACACATGCTCGCGCGCACATACACACAATTTCCGCTCCATTCCGCTAGCCACAGAAGGGTCGGCTACGACCCGAGGTCTTCATTGTCTGTTTGATGTTTGAGCCAGTGTGAGCAGCCTCGCCTCCGACTCGCGCTTAACTCGCTCGTGTAGAAGCAGATGGTACCCAGGTTAAGAAGGTTAACCTTTTTTTATTTTTAACGGGAGACAAAGAGTCTGGTCCGAGGGGCACTGGAAGAGAGGCAGTGGCGTTATTCGTGCACCATCCGCTGGTAATGAGAAAGCCAGAGTGTGTGTGTATATAGGTGTGTGTGTGTGTGTGTGTGTGAGAGAGAGAGAGAGAGAGAGAGAGAGAGAGAGAGAGAGAGAGAGAGAGAGAATGGGCGGGTAAGCGCGTTCGTGCATGCTTTATCCTAGCTTTAACACTTCAGTGAACATATAATAATATAGATGAACATACATTAAACGAAAATGTAATTTGATTATTTGCTTCGTATTTGCTTCCTATACACGTACTATAACGGACCCTGAACTCAAACAGTACAAAGTACCCAACTAGTAGTAGTACATTCAGTTCTTCGTTGAAAACGTAAGAAAGGTTTCCTGAGTTGCCCCCAGACCCAATTTTGTGTGTGGTTGTCCCCTAAAAAAATGTTATAAATGGTAATTCTACTAAGCGACACTCTCTCGTAACTGTGTTTGTAAGTTCTCAGTTTTTTTTGTGTGGTTTGGGGTGGGGGGGGGGGGGGGTATTGATTTGATATTACTTAAACTTGAAGTTGTAATGTCTGCAATTATTACAAGTAAAATATTGGTGAATATTGTCTGTCTACAGCAAGCTCTGTCAGTGACATCTGCCAGCAAGGACAACTGACAGCACAGAGTGGTTATATCATGACCCCACGATACCCAGCCAGCTATAACCGAAAGGTAAGCCAGGCACTCACTTCTTCCCAAAGCAATGATTACAGTTTAACAACCTCATCATGTCTTTGTTACTTCAGAGAAGGACACATTTGTGTCCTTTGAGTTTGCATTGTTTCATGTACTGCTGTTTGTGTATTTGTTCTGGGGCAAAATCTTTGAGACAAATGAAGAAACCCACAACCTCCCCAAGCATGTTGTAAAGTCGACTAATTAGAGATGTTCTTTTCGAAGACGCAGTGCTTTTGCTTTGGAAGCGCGGAACTTACAGTCTGTTTGAAATAAGCTAGATCTGAATACTTGTGTGCACACACAACTCAAGTTCTGGAACAAGATCAAAGTTCAGAAGTGGATGAACATCCATAACTCTCTGCTGGAGGTTGCAGCAGGTGAATGCGAATTAGAATCAGGGAGATGTATAACCGTTAATCTTTGTGTGGAAGAGTCAAAAATGTGTTTTTGTTACTTCTTGCAGGGTGATTGTTCTACCACTATAGTGGCCCATCCATCCCAGAAGATTAGTCTACACATTATTGACATGGATCTGGAAGCTATTGGTAGGATGGATTGCGCTGACCTCTTGTACTTCAACGATAAGTTACGAAGCATTACTCTGTGTGGTCAGAGAACTAACTATAGCTACAGCATGCACTCAAACAACCTTCACATTGAGCTCCGGTCAAACAGCGGACGCAGCAAAGGGTTCTGGCTGTATTATGAAGGTAAGCATGAGCTGGCTATTTTCTTGTTGCCTTTACCCCCGAGAACATTTTCTGGCTGAGCTGGTCTGACTGACTGACCTTCAACTCAGGGACCACACATCAAGGAATAAACACCCTGCGACAAAGTGCTACCATTCGGCTACCCCGGCTGCATGTCCTAGAAAACCCCGCTCAACCGTTAGGTTATATTAGGGCCCCCGGCGAAAGCCGGGGTGAGGCTTTCAGATAAAATAAAAATGCTACCCATTCTGGGGCATTAAAAATAATGCTGACAGGTCAATGAATAAAATAAATGCTCCCTGGAGGAATGTTAATTTTTTTTAAAGAAATTGCTGCATGTCTTTTTCTTCTGTAAAACCAGTAGTTAGGAAATATTGTGACAGACACGTAATTACAGAAAGTTAAAAAAAAAAAAGATATTTATTTGGGTTTAGAGTATCTTAGTAGAATATATTTAAAATGCCAAGAATAGAGAGTTAAAATGTAATGAAATAGATTCCATAAAATAGTCTTTAAGCTTAAAAAAAAATTACTTAATTTACACAACTTTTAAAATCCTAAATAAGATTAACTGTTACAATTATTATTAACATGAATAATGTGGCATTTTATCATGCACTCGGTATTGGGTATTAAAGTGATGTCTAACCCAAACATGACCACACAAAAAGCGATAAACACCAGGTGACTCAAAGTGCCACCATTCACACGAGAATCCCACAAGCGCAAGTCGCAGAAACCCAGTTAAATCGTTAGGTTGTACACGCCCTTCTCTAGTATATAAATCTGGAGCTGGCCATGTGTTGTAAAAGGGACCCTGAAGACAACCTAGTGGAGGGCAGGGGATGGGAGAAGGGGCTTAATATTTGGCCAATCATGTGTTAAATAATTACAAAAATAGGAATTACCTGGCACATGTTTTCACTGAAATACTTTTGCCTCTGCAGCTCTACCTCCTCTGCCCACCTCCCTGCTGCCCCCGGTCGTGGAGGAGAACATTGTCAATGCAAATCTCCCCTCCGAGGATAAAGTCAGTTTCCAGAGGCAAGAAAATGGTGGAGAGCAGGCAGACGACAGTGACAAGGGCAGCGACTCCATCATTATGACAACTCTGGGGTACAAGTACAGGAGTACTGTACCTTTGTACAGGAGCTCTAACAGTTCAGGAAAACAGTTGCCTTTTGGTGAGTTTCTTTCTTTCTTTCTTTCTTTCTTTCTTTCTTTCTTTCTTTCTTTCTTTCTTTCTTTCTTTCTTTCTTTCTTTCTTTCTTTCTTTCTTTCTTTCTTTCTTTCTTTCTTCTTTCTTTTTTTCTTTCTTTCTCTCTTTCTCTCTTTCTTCTCTTTCTTTCTTTCTTTCTTTCTTTCTTTCTTTTTTCTTTCTTTCTTTCTTTCTTTCTTTCTTTCTTTCTTTCTTTCTTTCTTTCTTTCTTTCTTTCTTTCTTTCTTTCCTTCTTTCCTTCTTTCCTTCTTTCATTAATTCAGAAAATTCGAACACTATACTTCAGTTAACTCTGCACAAAATATGCCACATAAATGCCCATTGTCTTGATTATGCTGCCACACATCCATAGACCTTTACTGCACTAATTTTTGCATTGCAAAAAAAAAAAAAAAAACCGGCATAATAGGTTATTTATTTTTCATCAGCACAAAATATTCTGAACTGACATTAAGAACAGTAGTTTTTTTTTTTTTTACAGCTAATAAAGACATGGAGAGTCTGATAGTTAGACCAGGTACACTTTTCTTCTCCTTCTTTACTTTTCTAACTCCCAGTGAAGCATAGATCCTCAACCAACTCATGCCAAGTCATTTTATCCTTTGCAATTGCATGCAGCTTTTCTCATGTCCTCCCCATCTTTCTGTAACTTCACTCTTTAGCTCCCTTCTCCATGTTTTTGCATTTCCCTTATTTCTGTGCCACTGTGGGTTCCAGTGCAAAGACATCACAGCTACATAGATACACTTTTCGTACTTGTTAAAACAGTTTAGTTGTTCATTGCACCATGAAGGTATACAACTAATGCTTTGTATTCTCTCCTCAGCTGCTATAGCCGGCGGAGTTATTGGCACCTTGAGTCTTGTACTGATCATCTTGTTGCTGCTTCTGTTTATCAAATGGTGAGATTTGTGCCTGTTATTTTTGTATGCTTCCATAGTAATTATTACTGTAGGAACTAATAACTTAAATTGTATATCCCACTTATATTCTACAAGGAGTTGAATAGAGTATTTTATATATATATATATATATATATATATATATATATATATATATATATATATATATATATATATATATATATATATATATATATATTTTTTTTTTAAACACAAGGTAAGGAAACTAGTTTCATAGCTAGTTTGACAATTGAGTGCTTTATATATTACAGAATAACCAAATAAATGTTTATTTAATGACATCATCCTAAATTTTTCTTTTTTTAAATCTACCAATGGATCATACACCCTGAACTAACTTGTGCTAAGCCTTTTGTAGATGCTTAATGACTATTTAAATTTTGTAGCTTGAGCTTTTTACAGGATGAGTTGGTTTATAGATAAATATGTCATCTTATTCTCTTTTCCCTTAGCTTTCCTGACGTGTAGTGGAAAGCAGTCTTGTCCATATTTCTGTAACTGTATTGGTTTCACTACATTGAATGACATTTACATCTCTTATATTTAGCTCCAAACAATCTATCAACCTGATTGAAATATAACATGGCACAAAAGTATCCCATTTATGTATTGAAAAATACAATATTATTCACAGCAACATGGCATAAACATAGTGTGTTTTCTATTCCCTCCAGGTGCAAGGAGAGAAGATACTATAAAGCTGAGAAAATTCTAGAAATCAGGAACCCAGCATTTCGAAGCAGTGGAGACTTTCATGAGAATCAGGAAGGCAATGCCTACTATTGCTGATTCACCAACCAAGTCATTCCTTACCTGTGTCATCACAGACTCATTCGTTAAATATCAAGAGCCATAATCGTGTGAGAACAATGGTTTCTGTCACTGAAATCTGTTGGGGAAAGTGGTTTCCATGGAAATGCTTGACTTCAGACTTTTGGATAATGTGCAGTGATGGTTTGAAGTTTTCCTTTAAATCTTTCACTCTCAGACGATTTCAGCGTAGAAATCAGACTGGCGCAGTAACCACAGTTAAAGAAGCATCAGTGTATCACTTCCAAAATGTGATATGTATGAATATATTTAGCCAGACTTCTTTAGCATATCCAAACCAAACAAGAAATATATAATAACACTGAATGTTGTTTGGTACACACAGACAGTAAGTTGCAAAATGATCTGTTACCGCAGGACAAAAACAGTTAAATCATTCTCAAATTTGCAACAGTCTAAACGCAAAAAAGGAGATTACAATTATTATGATTTTATATGTGCTGGTGCTCTTGACACATCAGTGGAAAAGAAACAGTGCAATGGTTTGAAGTTCTAGTTTGATTCCTGCTATGCTTATGAAGCAGCGGTATGATTAATCTGACTTTTCCGAGACAGTTTAGTGCGTAGCAGTTGCCGCTGAGACATTGGACAGCTGTAAGCTTGACCACTACTAGAGATGACTAAATAAGAACTGTGAAGCATTATTATCTACAGAGCCAGCTCCAATGGCTGATTGTGCCAAAGTGTGGGAAGTAAATACTTTCTGAGAGTATTTTATATTTATTGACATTATAGGGCATTGAGTGAATTCATCTGCTGAGCAAGTCATGCTGTTGCTAATGAAATCATATTGCTGATGCAATCATTATGCTGATAGTTTTAAAAATCCATGATTTGGACCGTCCTAAATAAACTTGAGTGTACTGCAGCAGCCATTAAGTACTTCAAAGAATCAGTATGTGATCGTGACATTTTAGGAAACAAATCAGTTGTGGAATTCAGAGATCAGAATACATTAGTAATATATCACTAATGTTATGTTATGTTTGTTTGTGGTATTTTTGTGTGTTGTTGCTTCCTGATTATCCAAATTATCCAGCCTTCTCTTTGATAACATGTTTTTACATTGCAGAGAAAATTAGTGTTTGCTGCATAAATGACATGTTTCTTTCTTAGAAATAGTTTCAAATGTTTTAGATATAGCAATTTTGGCATGTGTCAGGTTAATAGGAGATGTCTCAGAATAACAAACTTATGAACGAGACAAAATATTTGAATTTTTTAAAATGTTGAGTGCCTAACACTTCTTGAATACATTGATAAAATCAAATGAAAGGTAAAAGATGTTAGTAGTTTTGTAACCATAACAGTTAGTTAAATAGTGAGCAAATATTAATTGTAAACAAGAAAATATTAATATATTAATGCAGAACACGACACTGACTTATTTATGTATAACAGAATAGCAGAATAGTATCAGACATTATATAACTATAAGAACAAACAATCTGCCTATAATAAAGAAGAAAAAAAAACTAACATCAGAAACCAAAAGTGCTATATTCTTGTAACATGTGTTGATTTTAATCATGCAAATTTGTTTTCTGGTTTAATTTATCATATACTGTTGAAAAAATGCATAGTTACACAATGGCACTTTACTACTCAAACAAGAAAATGCATAGTTACTGAAAGGAACATAATATATATATAATAACTATGCATTTTATTTTTGAAAAATAAAGCACCATTGGATAACTAGGCATTCTATTTTTTTTCTGTTTTTTCCTTTCTCTGTTTGATTTTTTTTTTTTAACAATATATTTTAAGATGCAAAATTTAGCATGTTAATAATGTAAGGATTTCTACCATATGCAGCTCAAAAATATCTGAATGGATTTGAGCATTACCTCTTTTGAACTGCTTTGTGAAAATCTGAGAACACAGCTACTTGATAAGCCCCATTTTCAGTGTTAATCAAACAGAAAAGTTACCACATACCTTATTCAGCCTTATAAGATAGTTATAGATAAGGGACTATGACTATATAAGATAGTTATTGATAAGGGACTATGACTATATAAGATAGTTATAGATAAGGGACTATGACTATATAAGATAGTTATAGATAAGGGACTATGACTATGTAAGATAGTTAAAGATAAGGGACTATGAATATATAAGATAGTTATAGATAAGGGACTATGACTATATAAAATAGTCATAGATAAGGGACTATGACTGCATCAAGTACAGTCACTGTTATAATATATATCATAAAGGAGACATGTAACAAAAACTATAAGCAGAAAGTGAAAATGAGGGTCAGGAAAAAGAGATATAAAAATACAATTTAAAAGGGAGAAAAAAAAGAGCACCCAAAAAAAAAAAATATTAAGAAACAAGGAATAGATTGTACAGTTTATGCTTCAGTTGTAAGGGATTCATTTATGTGCATCACTTTATTCAATTGTGACTCTAGTGTACAACTGAGAAAAAAACTGCAAAATATGTTCGGCCTAAATTGTGCAGTCTTTATTCAAATTTACAACTGGAAAACTTTGCTTTTGGAAAAGGCTTTACCAGTCTTTAAAAATGAATAAAACAATAGGAATCATAAACCACACAAATCTAGAAGCTTTTTTGTATTGTTAAACATCTTTTTCTTTCTCTTTTTTACATTTCCAAACAAAATTTGTGTTTTATTAATTTATCTCCTGATATCAGTTTGCCTGCAGTTTCCCTCAAGTTCAACATCATTATTTATTATAACACTTCTAGCGGAATACTGTTTATTACATTTATATTTAAACTATTTATTAGGGACTAATTTATTACATGTTAGTGTATTTTTCTTTCATAGTACAAATGTGTTTTATTTATTGGTTTATTTATTTGCTGACTTGTATAATTGATGTATTTATTATAAACATATAAATTGTAACTAATTTATTGCCACACAACAGCAATGCTTCATGGAAGGACGGAGCAATAGCAGCATGTCCACATTCCATGTCTGCTTGCACATGTATGCTTCACACCTCATACCAAAGTTCACATCTGCAATATCTCATGTGCGTTACTTTAATGTAGGGTTGTACAGAAATATGACTTCTGAACCTGATTTGTTATTTTAATTTATTGGACTCACTGTTCTACAAAGCTGCACTACTGTGTCTGATATTTTGTTAACTTATTAGACTCACTGTTGTAAAGAAATATTACCGCTGCACCTGATACATTATGTTAAATTATTGGACTTATATGTTCTACAGAAAAACTACTTTGAAACATGATACATGATGTTAACTTATTGGACTGATTGTTCTACAGAAATATCACTATGGAACTATATACATTATAGTAAATTATTGAATTCAGTGTTCTACAGAAATAATACTATAGAACTTGATATGTTATTTTAATATATGAACCTATTGTTTTACAAAAATACTACTATGGAAACAGATATTTTAATGAACTCACCAGACTTGGTGTTCTAGGGACAAATTACCTCAGCATCCAGATCTTATTATTTTTTCAAGATAAGTTCCTTTCTTTCAAATGTAGACTGTTAGTTTTGCTCTGAGCAATTTCCAGATTCCACTCGTTTAATTTATTTACTACATTGTTTCTTCTGACAAAATGAGAGCTTCAGTTTATATAGAGAAAATTGCATGTTCTTCAGGTTTATTTATGTATATTTGTACAAGACTTTGTCTTGACAGGTATCGTAGTTTCAATTTATTTCACCTAATGAGCATCTGACATAAGTTTAAATGCATGTATGTAACTGAAATTTAAAAATTTGATTACCAGTTCACTCTTCTTCTTCTTTGTAGTGTTAACCAGCTGTAAACTACAGCTGAAAGTTCTTGTTGTTCATCCACTTGTGGACTCCAGTCTTCTTTCAGAACTTGAAAGTTTTGCATACACGTCCATTTTACAGATCTAGCTTTTTTGTATTCAGAATGTTGGTTTCTTGCCTCTCAGGCAGATGCAACTTTGAAGTAAGCAACCCTAATTTGTAGACTTTTAATGAAATGCTTGTCAGTGGGGCAGTGAGTTGTAAAACACATTCACTAACCTCTAAACCATGGAGTCCTTAAGACTACATCATACAGACTTAAACAGGCTTTTATCAACACACTGACAATATTTGTCATCTGGCTGTCATGGACATTTCTTTGTCCTACATATCTTCCTGCAATGAGATAAACAAAAATTATGTGAACTTACGGGAAAAAATCTGTAAGCTAGTGTACAATAGCTCTGCTTATAGCTAACAGTGGTCACAACTGTGAATATGTATTATTTTGTAGATACTTATTTCTTCCTTTTTTTTCTTTTTCTTCTCTCTTCCCACTCCTCCTCCACCTGATTCGTTTTCATTTGCTTCATTTTCTTCCTTTTCTCCTTCTTCTTTGTGTTAACCTGCTGTAAAACCCAGCAGAAAGATCTGTTTGTTCATCTAATTATGGACTGTAATCTTGTATCCAGAACTTGAGGTTTGAGTTTTTAGATTGCGCATGAAATACTTCAACTGACTATTTTCTCCTTTTCTGTTCTTTTGCACTTTCCTCCATGATATTTAATACATTAAATCCCAACTGGACGACATAAAATGATTCAGTGAAACTGCATTTGTACAGACACAGTTGTGTACGGAATAAATGAGCTGACGGGATTCAGATGAGGATATGTGGATGTTCTGTTATATGTGCTAGCTTAACTCAGAGTGATGTTTATGAAAACACATTTGTAAATATTGTAAATATTAACATTCAAGTATTACTTTAACTTATAAATGATCACATTGAAATTCACCAAATCTAGTCATATCAACTTGTAATTGCATAATGTTCATATCTGTGTCATGTAACTCATTCTCATTTTTCTGTTTTGCAGAACTGTGCTTATCTTTTATGTTGTCTTCTATTTATTTTCATAATTGTTTTTGAGTTTCTTTAAGTAGCATTTCACATTATTTATGTGAGACTTTTCCATGAGTGATAATA